CGTCAGCCTAGCTCACAGCAACCTCACACTCCTGGGCTCAAGCAATCCTCCTGCCTCAGCCTCCCGAGTAGCTGGGACTACAGGCATGCACCACCGGCTAATTTTTTGTATATATTTTTAGTTGTCCGATTAATTTCTTTCTATTTTTAGTAGAAACAGGGTCTCACTCTTGCTCATGCTGGTTTTGAACTCCTGAGCTCAAACAATCCGCCCGCCTCGGCATCCCAGAGTGCTAGGATTACAGATGTGAGCCACCTTGGCCTCCCGGAGTGCTAGGATTACAGGTGTGAGCCACCGCGCCCGGCCCATATTTTTCTTAAACTTTTGGCATCTCCTGGTCCTCCTTGCCTGCTGGGAAATGAAGCACTGCCGCCAAACGAAAAAATCTCTGATAAATCACAGAAAGTGAGAAACATCCTTTCGCCTCCTACAGTTGTGGTTTTGGTTTGTATTCCCCACATGTGTTAGATTTCCGATGCTAGAAGTGTTCTCCTCTGAAAGAGGACCTCACTGCCGCAGCATCGTGGCATCCTCGGGCTCCACTGAGCAAGCCCTTTCTGTTTTGGGAGCTAGTAGCGGACGTCAGGGATTTTCAGAGAGTTGGGGGGACAGTGGAAATGCTTTTCCAAGTGAAATCTTCCATGTGACCCTGGAATGTGAAACCGTAAGTGGTGCTTTATAACTTGGGGTTTATTTTGTAAGCCGCGGTCGGCAGCCTCCATTAGTCATAGAAAGAGCCAGGTGGCTGAGCTCAGGCGGGATCCACACTGCGAGTCTTGGAGTCCTGGCACTGTCCAGTTGCTGGGTGACCTTGGGCAAGTTTCTCAGTTGCTCTGGGCTTCACGTTCTTTGTGTGTAAAACAAGGATGCTGGCAGTGCCTGCGCAGGAGACTGCTGTCAAGAGGAAGGAACGAGAATGCACTAAACGCATGGATGAGTGCTTGGCACACGTGTGGGTGCCGTGTGCGTGTTCGCTGTATTCCCAGCGGCGGAAGCACTGTTGGCGTGGAGTAAGTCGGTGGGGTCAGTGAGCGTTGCAGGTGCTGATGGGAGTCTCCTGTCGGTCTTGCAGGCATCTAATTTGTAGTTATTTTGTTTTGGTTGCACGGTGATTTGAGACGGTTCTGCTTTGTGCAGATGAGTAGTTGCAAAACATTTCAAAACAGCTTGACTTGCAAACCTCAGGATACTTTTTACTAAATTCACCGAGAACTTAAAGAAGAGTTATAGGTTTTGTTGTCAAAGTTAAATCATTAGCAGTATTTTAACAACTGCTTCCTGATTAATGAAATGTTTACAGTAAATTCAGAATTTCTTGTAAAAATAAGGTACATAAGAAGCATATGAAACTTGTAAGTTTCAGAAACGTATACCATGGTCAGGATGTCATGCTTCATACACGCATTTGCTCCTGTGCTGCTGCCCAGCTCTGCTGTCTAGGGCAGGCTGCCCTTGAGCTTAGCGTGTAGTTAATTAATACTTGTGCCCTTGTGGTATGCTCGTGTTTCCAGCTTATGTGAGCAGATAGGCCTCGCCATGAAAAGGTCACATGCTGTCCTTTTTGATGGCGTATTTTAAGAAATTCACCTGTATGGTATTTGCAGGTTAATCTGCTGTTAGGTTTCTGGCAACTTGCAGTTTCAGAGTAGAAGAACGGCAGAAGATTTGCCCTCATTCCTTTTCTTATCTGAGCAGTTTGCTTTCCTAAATGCCGAGGAATGTGCCTGCACTGCAGCGGTCTGTCCTGGATCTGGGCTCTGGGCCTGTTGTCTCCGCCATGACTGTGGCGCTGAGTGAAGAGGCTGTGTGACTGGCCTCGAGCTGCGTGCTGCTGCCCGGCGCACCCGCCCGACTCGGCAGGAACGGGGGTCCGGCAGTGCAGGGTCCCTGGTCCTCCAGTCCGGGGAACGGTGTTCTCCCACCTCTCACCCAGACACAGGTCCCTGCGTCGACGCACACCTGGTTTCTTTCTCTCAGAGAGGGCTCAACCTTCAGAGCAGCACTGCTCTACCCCAGGAAGGCCTCCGGGCCCCAGGGCTGCCTGGGGTTGGTGACGCAGCCTGTCAAGGTCCTCACGGTGACGCTGTCACAGGAAAGGACCCAGATTCAGATGTTCCACACACTTCTGAGAGTGTACTACAAAAAATTCAACAGTCGTAATTTTTACAAGTAAAAATGCTTCAAGAATGATGTATCTGGATGAAGTTTTATATCCAGTGGTGGTAGAAATAATATGAGTGCGTAAAAAGTGAACTCTGTTTCACTTAAAAACATAAATCTGCCATATTACAAAGTTGAACAGAACTGATAGAAGTTGGGCCGGCCAGGGAGCTTGCACAGGCTGCACAGTGGGCAGAGGTGCTCAGCGGCCTTCTGCTGTCCTCAGTGCAGCCTCTTTTCCCTTCCTGTGGCCGGCACTCACGTCGTCACGTTGACAGTCGAGGGAGGTACGGGGGACTCAGAGACTTGGGGCGACTGCCCGTGTGGCTGGGTTGAGCAGCCTGTGAAGACGGCACGTCCTGTGTCCCCTCGGAGGTTGTCGCTGCTGCACCGAGGGCTGGAGGTGCCTCGATGGCGGTCGGGCAGGGCCTTGGCGAGACGCGGGAGCCTGTGCACAAAGCCCAGCCGCACCCAGTCCAGCA